TTTTTATTGAATTTGCTTTTATTGCACATTGGGTTTTTTGCACTGATTATGGTATGCAACAAAAATATTTTTTATAAATAATTTGTCTTTATTACTTCACAACATATGCTGCAGAGTGCCTACTGCTACCGAAAACACCCACTACTTGTTGCAGAGATGGCGACAGTGGACATTGGTGATAGGATCAGTGACATTGTGTAATAATTATAAATGCACAGCAACCATCACAAAATGAATAAGTACATTAACAGTGTTATATTCATAAATGTACACCAAGCACTACACACTTCCTAGTAGCCCCAAAACTTTAGGGCCAGGTAGAGCACAGTCCACCACACTGCATTTCTGGGGCTGATTATTAACATACTCTTTCAATGCCTCCATTAGCTGTATAGCTTGGAATTGAGCTCTTCTAATAGCCCTATTGTCCGGCTGTTCCAACTCAGCAGACAGCTGCTCCACCTCTACCCTCCATCCCAGTGGCGACTTTCCCCCATTGCCTCACAGGTATTATGCAGGACACAACAGGCAGCTATAACAATTTGTTTTTCTCACTGAGATCCAATCTCGTGATTGAACACTACCAACATCCCATCAGTCTACCAAAAGCCCATTCACCTGTCATTCTGCACCTGCTCAGCTGGTAGGTGAATCTTCCCTTGGCGCTGTCGAGGTGGTCGATGTACGGCTTCATGAGCCAGAAGAGCAAAGGGTAGGCTGGGTCTCCCAGGATCACTGTTGGGATTTCCCTAGTGCCAGTGGTAATCTGTTGGTCGGGAAAGAATCTCCCTGCTTGCAGCTTTCTGAACAGTCCTGTCTTCTTAAAGATGCAGACGTTCTGCACCTTCCTTGACCAACCAAGACTGATGTCAGTGATGTATCCACAATGATCCACCAACACGTGTATAACCATAGAAAATTAGCCCTTTCTGTTAATGTACAGTAAAACCTCAGAGTTATGAATACCAGAGTTACGAACTGACCAGTCAACTACACACCTCATTTGGAACCAGAACTACACAATCAGGCAGCAGTGACAAAAAAAGAAGAAGAAGCAAATACAGTACAGTACCCTTCAACGTAAACTACTAAAAAAATAAAGGGAAGGTGGCATTTTTCTTCAGCATAGTGAAGTTTCAAAGCTGTATTAAGTCAGTGTTCAGTTGTAACCTTTTGAAAGAACAACCATAATGTTTTGTTCAGAGTTATGAACATTTCAGAGTTATGAATAACCTCCATTTCCGAGTGTTCAGAACTCTAACGTTCTACTGTACACCATGGCAAGGTGGGCTGGTGCTAAAATAGGGATGTATGCCCTCATGTATCACCTCACTGCAGTTTAGGAACTCCGTTGCTGCAAATCTATCCTGCACTTTGCCTAGAGTCACAGTCCTGCTTAGCAGTTGATGATTAATGGCCCTGCACATTTGCATGACAATGGTCCCCAATGGGGATTTTTCAATTCCAAAATGATTGCCCACTGACCAATAGCAATCTGGTGTTGTACGCTTCCACAGAGTGATCACCATTCACTTCTCAGCTGTCACTCCAGCCCTCATTCTGGTGTCCCTGCACTGGGTGGCTGGAATGAGCACAGCACACAGATCCAGGAACATGGCCTTTCACACCCAAAAGTTCTGCAGCCACCGCTTGTCATCCCTAACCTGCATTACGATGGGAGCCCACCGGTCAGTGCTTGTTTATCACATCCGTAAGCAGCGCTCCACTGTCTGTAGCTGCTCCATGAATGCCACCAACAACGCTAAATTGCTTTTCACTGTGTTCCACAGTGATCGGTCCTCCACAAAAGCATCATGTCCTCCATTGCTGCGGTTCTTCCTGTGGCTCTGCAAATACTGGAGGATGGTTCGTCCGGTGTTTGCAACGCTCATGACAGTAGTGCAGAGCTGTGCAGGCTCCATGCTTCAAACAGAAATTGTGGACAGTGAGAAGTGCCGCATGGGTTTGTGGGATTTTTTTTAAAAAGTCACGGAAAGTATGGGATATCAATGGCATTAAGGGATGGAAAAAGTTGCTTGATGGGACCTTGACTTCTTGCTCATAGTCACCCTTGCACAACTGCCCCACCATGCTGTGACTGGAAGCACCCCTGTATGCCCACTCTATACACAATTGTAATAATCTTTGTAGAAAATATGCCTTTGTATCATTTGAAAACTGATATCTCACTGTTCAATAATGTCACAGTGAAATGCATGTAGCAACATCATATGTAAAGTTATGAAATCCCCCTGTATGATTATTAGCTCATGTTCAAAACCACACAGGCAAAGGTTATAAAAAGAGAAATGTGTATTAACCTCAATTTACATATAAATAATAAACAGGGCCAGCAAGACAGCAGGGAGAGCAGGTGGCAAGAGACAGCAAATTTGTATTTCAGCAAACAGAGGTGGGGGTGAAAGAGCATGGAGCCTCCTTCCTCACCAGACTCCATGTCACCTTCCTTACCATCTGAATAAACTTTGCTTTGAGGGGTGATCTTTAGAAGAATCTATTTCAAAGGTGATTTGGACTATAAAAGAAAGGAGCAGAAAACCCCAATCTCTTTCTTTTTCACCTAAGAAGACAAAGGCACCCGCACCTTTGGGCCTCTGGGAGAGATCCTGAGCAAGGAAAGGGTCAGCCACTATCTTCCTGGAAGACAGTGGGTGAGAAAGGCCATCTTAAACAAAGCCTTGAACCAGAACTTGCTGGATTGTTTTAGTCTTTTAGCTTCATTTTCATTTTATTTGCTTGTAACCATTTCTAACTTTATCTCTTCTACGTGAGTTCACTTACAACCCTATCTTCTTTTGTTTGTTTTATTTTTTAATCAAAACCAATCCAGGGCTATGTTTAAATGGAACTATTTGTTAACGTAGCAAACTGTTGAGTATTGACTCCTTACTGGGGCAGTGGCTCTTAATAACTGAACTGTCCTGGAAAGGTCTGGACAGTGCAGAACACACGTTTTTGGGAAAATTCGGGACTGGGAATGTGTTGGGTTCACCATACAAGTAGTAACCAAAGCTGGTGGAAGCCAAAGTGTGGCTATTGTGTTGCTGGCAAGCTGCTGGGGTCAGAACTGCTGGACCAGGGCTGCAACCATACACAGACACTCAGGGTCTGACCTGCAGTCAGGCCCTGAGTAATGCTGATAAACTACTTGTGAGCAGCCCTGGTTGGGAGCTACAATAGCAAAGCATTGTGAAGCACCCAAGGTTGTGGGGCAGGCGGTGATACAACCCCTCACTGGTTTGGATTGCACCCCATAATGTGACATGTATATTGCCAACATTTCCCAAAAGGCAGTGTGCCGTCCGACTGTAAGTTGCATGCTCGGATCCCTACCACACTGAATTTACATAAGCGATCATGGTGATTATGCACAGCACTAATTCAAACAGCCAAGTATGCAAGCGTACAAGCAATATACTAACTGCAGCGGCTTTATGCCAATGTAACTCACATTGACCAAAGTTTGCGGTTTAGACGTTGCCTCAGATCTCTGCATACTTCCCACGGCCACCAAGTGGGCAAAGATGGCATGGAACAGGATGGGGAGTGGCTGACCGGGTTCTGGTAGGGAAATAAGATGAATCCTTTCAAAGCCTGCAGTAACTTCCTTCCTTCCCCAAAGCAAAAGAAGAACAGAGGTGAAATTGTGTCATGAAGTGAATTTTGGGGCACAGTGCCTCCTGGGCTATGAATGTGGTGTAGCTTACAAACAGGCCCTTGTTTAGGATTGTGCCAAAAGACACAACCCTAGCACAAAGATTTCAGTGAAGTTACTCTGGATTTAAACTGGTATAACTGAGATCAGACTAGCCCCAGGTCTTTGAACAGCCTGGTATTCATGGTCCCCTACACAGCACTTAATCTTTGTTTGCCTGTATGGATGTCTCTCTTCAGACAATTAGGGAAATGAAAGGGAACATTTTCATCCTATAAAGGGAACAAAGGGCTATGAAGATATTTCAAACCCTCACCTATGTTGAACCAGTCCAGTCCTGAAAGTTTAATGAAAACAGAATCACTATTTCTTCTTGCTGCGGGCATCGAACTTCAGTGGGAGTTAAACACTTGCATTAAGAGAAAAATAGGCCTGTGTGTTGCTAGAAAGTTTTCACTACATAATTAAATTTTACTATTGCATTTTAGATTGTTAAGAAATAAAGCAGTTCAAAAAGGTAAAATGAACAAAAATCCTGAAGTTTGAAGTTTCCAGTATAGAATTTTAAAAAGAAACTTTTAAATGTTTGTATATCTGCTACACTTTGTGTAAACATGTAACTTTAAACAACTTTCTTGAAATTCTGTGAAACTATTTCACTCACTGGATGAGGCTCTTTATGCCAATGAAAGGATGAAGCAGCTCTCTGATTGATTTGTAAGCTAGTGAAAAAATGGAGTTTATATGAGAAGAGCTAACACATCATTAACTACTGTGATCCTTTTGAATGCTGCTTCAGTTTAACAATATAACTTGTTCCAAAATGGTTTGCAATAGACATCAGACAAAGCTGCTTTTGGAGCTGGGGGAGGAATTTTGAAACTAAAGAATGTTCCTTCACAATCAGTTCTTCTCAGTTGCCCATGACCTGTCAAAATTTCCTGAGAAGCAAAATGCCTGGGCTTGTTGATTTTGTTTAGACTACATTCTGTCTACACTGTAGCAATAAAATACTTTCTTTCTTTCTTTCTTTCTTTCTTTCTTTCTTTCTTTCTTTCTTTCTATATTCAGCTACTTTACTGTTTGCATTTTTTAATAGACACTGGGTTCTATTTAAATTGGGGATATTGGCATCCTGTAAAAAGATACTCAACACATAAGAGTTGGGGTTTTTTTTTACTAACACTGACTTTCATTTCATTATAATGTGATGTATTTATCATGCTTTTCTGCCTTTCATTTGCATATGAAAAACCCTCATTTTTGCATCATCATGTATCTTCTCTGAAAATAATAATTAACATGAACTTCTTTGACTGTGCAGAGCTGGCTATTTGCCTCAGAATATTCCTCTGGAGATTATCAGATACCTTTCCGAGGAGAAGGATTTTCTGCCTTGGCATGCTGCCAGCCGAGCTCTTTATCCTCTAGATAAATTGCTGGACCGCACTGAAAACTACAACATTTTCAATGTAAAAGATATATTCTCTTCTTTTCTATTGTCCTGAGATGAATTAGTCCACAGTCAGTTATTGTAACTGATCTAGGGATATTAACTTTCTTTCTAATTATTTTGTATTTAAATGTAGCAATTGTCAAACTTAGGTTCATTTGCATTTGAACAGTGATAAGGACTATTTGAGGCATATATAATGAGTAGAAGGAAACTTAGCTGTTCTTCCTATAAAATATTATGACAAATAAGTTGTTTGATTCTTAAAAATTCTATAGTTCTCTGGAGCCACAGGACTACACTTTCATTGAGGCCCAAAATAAGCATGGACAGAAAATGTGCTCACAGAATTTAGCAGGATGCATGCAGTTGCAGTCTATATTGTTAGTCATTATTTTCATCCTGAAAGGCATAGTGAAGTCAATGCATTTCCCTTAATTAACAAGGATTAGATCACAATTGAGTCAAAAACCTATTCATAATTGGGACCAGGAGAACAACAGTAGAAGCAAACAGTAGATAATCCAAATAGACATGACAAACATTTTAAAATGTTACCTGAAAAAATGTTGCTTAATCTTGAAGCATATTTGTTAAAAGGAACATTGTTTATGACACAGACTTTAATTGTATTTATTAACAATTATAAGCTGTATTACGCCTGTGTACTGTCAGTGAATTTTATGTACGCTGCATAAATTGAATGCCCAACCACTTGTGCATAATTTTATACTACAGTTGAAATGAAGAAACTACATAAAGTCTGGTATATTTAAGGAGACATTTTTAAAATACACCCAGATACATGCTGGCATGGAGAATTTATATAAGGAATATATTACAGATTAATAAAGAAATACTGGAAATGTTTCTTCATGAACCTATGATCTGGGTCTAGCTCCAAACCAGATCGCTCTCATGTAAAATTACACTTTTTGTCTTCCTAGTCTATCATTACCTGCACTGAAAAATCATTATTAGACAGTGATTGCTGTTTCACTTTTAGACATGACTGTGTAAAGAGAATACAATTTTAATAAACAAAAATGGTCAAAATTAATTGCAGGGTTGTGTTTTACCACTACTGATTCTTCCTGAAATCTGAAAGCAGAGTTGATGGCAGAAGAAATAGAAACTCATTATAGTCACAGAATAACTTATCTGCTCGAGAAAGCTGTCCAGTGCATCTCCTTTGGTTCTGTCATCATACACATATGCACATGCATCCATAAAAATAAAATGGATATTCTCTTGCATTAGTTCATTTCAGTTCTTTTTTCAAAGCAGTGAATTCTAGTGGCAGAAAATTATGCTGTGACTACAGTGACAATAGTCTACTTCATAACTTGTAACTGAATGTAAAGATGCCTAATGTGCAAGATGTGAGAGTAAGATAAAACATGTCTTGTGCTGTCTTTGATATTTAAACACAGCAACAGCTAAATGGACATTGAAATAGTGTCATTATATAACCCAGTCTTGATATGCAGCACACATTGTTTAGTATTATTAGATCAGTTGGCTGCACCTGTGTAATGGTTTCGCTGTAGCTATGAAAATAAAGACGATCATAGCTAAGGCTATGATTTGGTCACAGGTGCTTTTAGTAAAAGTCACGGACAGGTCATGGGCAATAAACAAAAATTCATGGCCCGTGACCCGTCCATTACTTTTACTAAAAATACCTGTGATTAAATCTTGGAGGGGGCACTGGGGGAGCGTAGGGGGCTGCTGCTGGAGGGAAACATGGGGCAGGGGGCTGCTGCTGGGGGAGGTGTGCCCAGGGCCAGTGGCACCAGCTGCAGAGCAGCAGACTGCGGCTGCTCTGGCCCACTGCCTGGGACCGCGGACCATGGCTGCTCTGGCCGGCCATCCAGGGAACACTGCTGGGGGCCGCTGGAGCAGCAGCTGGTGTGGCTGTCCCAGGGACCACCTGAGTAGCTGGCCCTGGAGCCAGCTGCTTGGGCGGCCCTAAGGTCAGCCACACTGGCCCCTGGAGAACTCATGGAGGTTGCGAAAAGTCACGGAATCCATGACTTCCGCGACCTCCGTGAGAGGCACGGAGCCCTAATCATTGCTATCAGTTATCTCACTACATATGTGCTAAGTGAGTCAGTTTAAATGTTTAATGATGGCCATTATTCAGACATTCATTGTGAAGTCAAGATTGGCTTAGCTAGAGTAGGCATTAGCCTGTCCAAGCGCCAGCAACTCTTCACTTTTGTATTGTGAGTTCAAAATACTGTTAAAGTAAACAATTTATAAACTGCTGTATTCTTTACCATTAAATTAGCTGACCCAGTCATGTAGCTGTTCTGTAGATTCATCTTCCATTTAAGTAAAGAGTGGGATTGCATACAAAAGCATTGCAATACAACATCCAAATCAAAGAATTTTGAAAGTGGGGCATTATTAAAAACATCAATCAACAGTATTTCAAGTTTGAACTGAAAAATCAAAAATGAAGTTTAATTCTGAAAATATATTTAACCTATTTTTTTTCTTCCAGGAATATATTTTAAAACAAGTTGCAGCGATGTACCTCAAACTTGGATGGCCAACGAATAATTTAAACAGATCCCTTGTTCAAGCTGCCTACCAACATGAGTACTGTTATAGTTTTTTTATTAATTTTCACAGGAGATAGTTGTAGTAAAGTGCTTTCTCAGTACTTAATGTGAATTTCAGCATCATGAGATACCTTTCTATCCTTTTCCTCCTTTCATTTCTCCTCACTTGAGGGGGCTAGGTGCTGTGAATCAGTTTCCTCTGCCTGGAATTTTGAGAACAAAGACATGTTCCTGTTAAGCTTTAATTTAAGTGCTGGCTCCATTGGAGACTTTGGGATTTGAACTCACGAGACCATTGAATTTAGTAGGGTTGTGTGAATGTAACACTGCCCATTTTGATCCATGGCCTTTAATTAAAAATTGTAACTGTAACAACATGGTACTTAGTTGTTACTCAAAGATATACAGTTACCACATCTTTAATATTTTTGTTTAATTAAATATTAACAGCTCCTTATAAGAAAGGTTAAAATATTTTCTTCTGAGAATTTCAACATACTTATTTATTAATGTGACCTCATTAGTGTCTTTTTTTGTGTTTTCGACTAACCCAGAGAATTGCGTCGAGAAGTCATCATGCTGGCCTGCAGCTTTGGTAATAAACACTGTCACCAACAGGCTGCAACGTTAATCTCAGATTGGATTTCCAGCAATAGAAACCGGTAAGTGGAACAAAAATGCATCTCCCGTCCACCCAACTCAGAACTATTATAGTATGAGTGTGTCTCTTTCGTCTACACACTTTTTGCATACAGGTAAAAAATGAAGCAGAACTCACCAGCTGTCATTTAAAACATTGCTGTGAGGCTGCAGAGCTAGAAGGGGTGGGAAAGATCTCTTAATTTGTGGATGGGGCAAATGGATCCTCCTGAGGAAAAAAAGAGGTTGATTTTAAGGAAGGATGGAATGGAAGAAAGAGAGGATGCTTGGTAGATGAAGACAGGAATAAGGGCAACATGACAAAAAGTGTGAAGCTGTAAGTGGGAAAGGAGATAAAGGGAGGAGTGTGGTAAAAGTTTTGAGAAGACCTGAAAGAGAGAGGGAGGAAAAGAGATGAGGAAATGTAGTAGAGGGAAATATTATGTAGAGCTTTGTAACTCAAGATACAGAACTTGAAAGAGATGCCGTAGGAGGCAGGAAGCTAATAGAGGGATTCAAGGAGGGGTAATGTAATAGGAGCAATGGGGGGCATTAGCAGCAGTATAATGGACAGGCAAGAACTATAGTAGGCAAGCAGACCAGCCAGAGATTTGGGTTGTCAGGTCATTGACAATGTGCAAAGTATGCATATAAGTGCAGAGTATTAATAAATAAAGTAGTGTGATTATTAAATCATGCAGTTATCCATGGAGAGTAAGGCAAGTACAGGTGAGGACCACAGCTTTCTTGTGAAAGAATCATCCTTTTTTTCATCTGGTGGAAGGCAGGAAACCAGTTTCCGCATATCACGGGATATGACGTTTTGTTTCTAGGTAAAATATTTTATTTCAGGTGAAGTTTTCAAAAGCACCTAAGTCCCATTTTTAAATCTGAATTAGGCACTTATTTTCAAAGGTATTTAGGTGCATAAGGATGCCAATAGATGCCAAGTGGGATTCTCAAAAGCACCTAAGCAGGTTAGCTGCCTATCTCCCACTAAAATCAAAATTCCCATTGAAACCTGCTTAGGCACTTTTGAAAATGCCATTAGGTGCCTACATACATTTGAAAACTTGCCCCTAGGGAAAACGTCTACTACATGGCAAGCAGAATCCTGCAACAGCGAGTCTCAAAACTCAGATCTACAGCTCCTGGTGCTAAAAATGGCTGTGTAAACATTGGGATTGGGCTTTGAATCCTAGGGAGGGGAATGAGTTTCTGAGCCCAAGCTCCAACCTGAGCCCTAAAACCAACACAGCTATTTTTAGTGCTGTAGCATGAGCCCAAATTTGTAGAGCCAGTCTCTGAAACTCGCTGCCACTGGTTTCTGCTCGCCATGTAGACATACCCTTAGTGACTTTGAAAATGGGATTTAGGGCTAGATTCACCCTAAGGGAGTTAAGCACTGTAATGTTCCATGTTGTAACTTTTAAGGACCCTGCTGCCTAGTGGAATTTACGACCCCAAGTGAGGCATCCCACAGGCGAGAGAGGCAGAAAGATGCCTAGTTTGTGAATCCTGGCAGGGCTTAAGCATGAACTAGTCGCTGAGCAGGTCAATGGCATCAGGACTTAGGCAGCTTTGTGTATGGCCACTAGCAGAAACATAGGCACCTAGGAAATTTTATCACTAGTAATGTAGGTGCTACAGACTTGGATGGCAGCTGAATGGTGGATTTGTGAATTCCATTGGTGCCTAGATGTTGGATTTAGGCGCCTAAAATGGCAGGTACGCACCTACATCCTACTTTGAATCTAGCCATTAGTCTTCTAAGTCACTTAAGTGTGTTGGAAAAAAGTATCCAGAGTCTATGAAAATATGCCCCAAACTCCAAAAAGAAAGTGTTATTAAAGGATTTGTCAGGTTAATTCTGTATGATGAATCCAAGCACGCACATTTTTAAGAGAATCCTTATCAATATCAAAATTAGCAAACATCAACAATGCTAGATACGTAGCTATTCAAAGAGGAAAATACAAAGAAAGAATCACAGGAAAGGATCTGCAAAAGTAATTTACTGAGATACTCATTTGCAACAGCAAAATTAGTTAATCACATTTAACATAATCTATTAAATTGCACAGCAGTAGATAATGCAATATATAAAAGCTGTCACCCTGGAAAGCCTCCCCCTCTCCCCCCTAAAGGACTAGAGAAGAAGGAGGCATCAGAAAAAAGCTTATTGCTTTGCTAACAATAGCGAGAAAGGGAAGGAACACATTTAAGGAGCCTTCTGAAAATTAATCTTACCTTTTCCACAAGGACATTCTTGGGAGCCCAAGATTGTGACTGCTGGAGCACAATGAATGTTATGATAAAGGTATCAGAGCGGGGCAGAGGAGGAAAAATACCAGCTAGTTAAAGCAATACATTTCTGTAAAGAAACTGGACAATTTTGAAAAATAGCCACCACAAATAATGTAATTATAGAACAGGGATTGACATCAGATGATAAATAAGGGTGCAACTTGCAAGAAGACAGATTTCTTTTATTTATTTCGTAAGATTATAAATTCAGATCTTTTTCCCCACCCCAGAAATTGCCAGTTGTTGTTCTCAAAACAGTCACCACATTTGAATGTGACTAACTCATTGACAGTCTGATACCATGTCTGCTCATTTTGGAAAGGCATCACAAAGGTCACTTCTTGTAGTTGAGAAACTTTCTGCCAGTTTAGCAGCTTAGTAGTCATAAAATTAGCTTGTACTTCACAGTATCAACATTTATATAGGTTCAGCACGTCTATTTTTGCTCATACAGTAGTATGGCTATATAATGGTTCAGCTTTCTGCCATATCACCGAGATTCTGTTATTACCAATAATAATAATAATTCTGTAATAAGAATTTAGTTAACATGGTGTGTGAGCCAGAACAGAAGCCAGAACACACTCCCTTAACTGTGTTGGCTAATATGAGTATAATGGGCAAAAAAGTACATCTTGGAATACATACAAGGAACAGATATGTAATTCAGTGCCATTTTTATATTGTTATCTTTGTGATCATAACTGTACTTCACTCAGTTTGATGAAAGATTCTTATAACATCATGTCCTTAAAAGCTACCTTTTGTTTTGTACTGTCAGTTGCAACCATAGTATCTCTGTACCATTCTCTCTGCATGCATCTTCTCCCACAAAAGGAGAGACTGCTGACTCAATGGGAGCATTCCCTTCCTTTCTCCAGAGCATTTTGACAATTCTCCACAGTGCTAATAAAAGACCACTGGAGATAGAGATATGCATCATCTCTCCCTCCACCCAGTGTTAACAACAAAGTTAATACGGCCAGAGGTTATATATACTGTACTTAGAGAATCATTTCCACAAAGCAGAACAAAGTGGTCAAGCACCTGCTGGGAAATTCCAGGCAATACAGTTGCAGTGGAGTCACATTGCCAGGGAACCAGGGCAGAGCTACAGACGGCTAAGAGCTGATCAAAGGAGGCAGAGGATCTCTGCATAGGTGCCCCACTTCCCCCCAACAAATCTCCAATATCAGCAGCATTTGTGGGTTGGCCTCCCAGTTTGTCCCCTGGAGGTTGGGGAATGCTACCTCCAATAAGAGAACTCAAAAGAAACTTTGAAGGGAAGCTTACAGTGTTTTCTGTCTCCTTTGTGGTATTTCCACATATGAGTACAGTCTGACCCAGAGTTTACTGAATACTATAGTAAAAAATAAAGGCAACGTTGCAATGCTTTGCCCTGAACGATCTATTCTGGAAGCGGGAGTGGCTAATCCAAAGAGCTAATTTACAAACAATGCAAATTGAAAAGTATTGAAAATTCTTTGGAACATAAGAGTACAAAAGAATACCGGGGAGGTAGATTGACATCAATCAAATGAGATTCAATACAAATATAAGCTAATATTAAGTTAAACTTTTATGACTGTACAAATTTACAGGCAGTGGAACAAGTGGCTAAGAAGGCTAGGGAATCTCCATCCCTGGATATAGTCAAAGTTAGAGTGAACACACATCTAATTAGGAATGGTTTGGGAATGATAAAATAAATCTTGCTGTGATGCTTGGTTAGATGGCTCTTTAGAGGTTATTTCCATCCCAAATGTTTATGTATTTTACTTTCATAATTTAATTGTGGGCTAGGGAAGGGCAATAATCAACTACAGTAATGTATATCTCTATACTGTTTGCATATTTCTGCAGGTTTCCTAGTAATACTGTTTAATATGGTAGGTCCAAAATTAATTACCATGTACTCTCCACTCCAGGAGATTGAAATAATTATAATAATCATGTATTTACTATGCTTTGTTCTTTACCATGTAAATAAGTTACCACTGCTGATCAAGATAACAAAAGACCTAGGTTCATAACACAAGAACTAGGGGTCACCAAATTAAATTAATAGGCAGCAGGTTTAAAACAAACAAAAGGAAGTGTTTTTTTCACACTGACTGTTTTCACAATCAATCTGTGGAACTCCTTATCAGAGAATGTTGTGAAGGCCAAGATTATAACAGGGTTCAAAAAAGCGCTAGATAAGTTCATGGGGGATAGGTCCATCAATGGCTATTAGCCAGGATGGGCAGGGATGGTGTCCCTAGCCTCTGTTTGACAGAAGCTGGGAATGGGCGAAAGGGGATGGATCCCTTGATGATTAACTGTTCTGTTCATTCCCTCTGGGGCACCTGGCATTGGCTGCTGTCGGAAGACAGGAAACTGGGCTAGATGGAACTTTGGTCTGACCCAGTATGGCCGTTCTTATGTTCTTAAGCTCAATAGTGAATTGGCCAGTAGTACTTACATTTGTAGCTTATAACTTGAAAAGTTAAATATGTTTTGGGGTTAAAACTAAATGCAGAATTAAAGAAAATAATTATATCTCCCAGTGTTTTAGTCTTCTCTGTTAATACCAGCAATATTGAATAACACCATTAGACTTCCAGGCACAACACTATTACTTTCACATCTTCTTTACAAAAAACATACACTAATCTACGTGAGATGAGTGCTCATGAGGTTTAGAAGGACATTCTCCACAACTCTGTGAATTTCA